CAGTAATTCCTACTAATTACCATGCCTAAATGAAGTTAAATATGCAAAAGCTCTTTGTAAACTCTAAGTCCAAAACAAATCTTTAGTAGTTGTTGATAACCAGGTCAATCCACTCCATTGTTATGCATGATAACAGAGTTTATTGTATGAGATTTAATATTTTTATCTCTTGGGTGTTTTTAATGGTATCATCATCACACAGAGGTGCACATACATCAACATTATGACAAGCATCGCAGACACACTGCAGGGAGTACACACTGATCACAAACAGACCAAAAACCTGAAGTGAAGGTAGAATGAAAACACACACACACACACACACACACACACACACTCACAGTTATCTTTAAAACAGCATCCAAATAAAGGGCCTTGTACCCATTTTAGCCTAAGTATATTTTAATTGATAGCCTCCATATTTCATTGCCAGCAACAAAGTAGAAGTGACTAATTTTCCCACTCATCCAACATGATCTGAATTTCCTGGGAACTGACATAGTATTTCACCTTCTGGGAGCAATTGGAACGAAAGAACTGCCACTGAGTTTGGGGAAATATAGCGTTCTACTAATCCAAACTGGCTCCTGGGGTCTCAATCCCATATTTGAAACAAGCAAACCCACATATCTATAATACATCTAAGAGGCACAAATTAAAGTTGTCCAGTAGACCTATATCATTAGCATATATCAGAAGACTGTTATTAGCTTTGAAGCTTCCGCAGAAGAAATAATGAAAAACAATGCAATCTCTCATTAAAGATTTCCTTCATACCTGTATTTTGCAAAGGTTTTGAAAAGATCTTTATTATACGGCATCTGTTATTTTCTGTTAAGATTAAGTCTGGTTCTTTTATACGCTGACAGGTTTTATTTTTGAGAATATCATATTGTAAAGTCTTATTTGTCAAAAGTTGCTCTTTTAAGTAGCTGTCATTTTTCAGACTGTGGTAATTTTCTCTGAGGTCCTGTAGAATTTCATCCTGTTGATGTTTTTCTTGAATATACTGAAAAACTAAAATTAATAGGATAAATATAATACAAAAATGTACTCATAATACTTAAAAGTTGCAACTAAAAAAAAGAAAAACAAATCTCTCCTTGACAAGCAACACATTTCATTACTTTAATTAGCAATTTGACATTTAAAAAGTAACACCTCAGTAAATTGACTACAGAAATGGAAATATTGGAAGTATCAAACCTCTTGCTACTAGCATTCAGTGTAGAATAAATAAAATAAGGTGTCTGAATAAAATTATGATGGTAACACCTTACCATTCAATTTAATTTCTTTTTAATAATTAACACATTATTTACAAATAGGAAACAAAGTAAAAACCAGTCAGTCAACATTTAGCAACACATCTTCTNCAGTTTAATAGCAGATTATAACTTAATGTAAACCCAAGAGTTTACAAAATACTGCACTTCAAAACAAAAAGACTATACTGAATTGTGTGCGTGTGTGTATGCATGTGTATACTCACATGTATCTATATTTATGAATACTATATAAACATATATATATATATATATATATGTAAACTAATACAATAAAGGAGTTTCAAATGAATTTGGGGGATACTCCAAATACCCATTTGTGAATACAGGAGGAATCAATCACTGCAGCTAAATCAGGATGATCCAATCACTTCATATCACTTCATGATTTTGTTTCACTTTCATGTACCTCATAACACACATACTCCTGAGCATGGGGTTAGCATCATAGTTTTTATCATTATTAATGACTCTGTATGACACTTCTCTTCCTTTTTAACTATACTTCCTAAAACACTTTCTTAATCATTCTACTTATTCTTACCAATAACCTCTATTTGAAAATGAGTTACTATGTGTGAAATGAGAGAAGATACTTTTTAGAGACAATACTTCCAACCCCAACACCAATGTTAGAGTTTGAATGCATTCCAGAGACTTACATTCCAGGTGTACTACTGTCAATCCATTTCCATTTCCTTTCTCTCTCATTATATGATAACCCAATCCAGTAGGTATTTTTATTAGTCTGGGGTTGAAGGAAGGTCTATGAAGAAATCAAAACACACCATGTGACTAAATTCCCATTTGTTAGGTGAATGAAGAGGATAGGTAAAGCAGCCAGAGGTTTCTACAGTGAGTATTCTGCTACTCTCCACATCATCCTGCTTTCCTCCTCCTTAGAACCCTGTCCCTCTCAATCCCTGTATTTTCATTTCCCAACATAATTTTCTCCTACTAGATTATTTATTTTTGTCAAAATGGCTGCCATACACCTGAAACTAATAAAAAAAGTGTTCAAACCAAAGATCAAGAAAGCAAAAAAAAAAAGGCTGCCAGTATCATAGAGTATTTAAAACATGGAAAAAATTAAACTGTAAATATCTAATAGATTTGTTAATTGTTAATTTGTTAAAAGTAGATTAATCTATTAAATCTACTTTATGATAATTTGCAAACTGATTCAAAATCATGCTCCTAAAAAATATTTAAGGCTATAGTAAAAGAATTATTACGTATTCTTAAGTGAAAGAAGGAATCTTCAAAACAAATTTATTAAAATAACAACTGTATGTGGGAGGTGTACAGTAGAGACTTTAGCCTCATAAGAGAAAGCCTTGCTATAGTTTAGTAGTTGGAAGGGGTAAAGGAAAAAGGGGCAGCATTTGAAAATATTTACTAGTCCAAAAATATATCAAAGTGACATATTACATGTCTGATTAAATGACTGGATGTTTTTAAAATACACATCCTTTTAAACTTAACTGTCTTTTACTGCATCAAACATAGAAAATATTTTATGAATTGACATCATAAATTCTTCTGTATTATGATTTAAAACACCTATGGGGCCGGCCGAGTGGCTCAGTTGGTTAAGAGTTTGCTTAAGAGAGCGAGCTCTGAGCAACAGGGCCACTGATTCAATTCCCACATGGGCCAGTGACGCTGCCAGAGCTGCCAGCAGGTTGCAGGATGGCTCGGCTGGTGAGAACATGTGCTCCTAACAACAAGACTGCCGGTTCAACTCCCGCATAAGATGGTGGGCTATGCCCACCCACAACTAATGCTGAACTCGGCACCTTGAACTGAGCTGCCGCCTGGATGGCTCAGTGGATAGAGCGTGCACTCTTAACAACAAGGCTGCTGGTTCAATTCCCACATGGAATGGTGGCTACGCCCACCCACAACTAAGATTGTAACACAGCACCTTGAACTTAGAGGCCACGAGCTGCCAACAGGTGGTCAGATGGCGACTGGCGCCCTCCACAACTAAGATTGAAGAACAA